TATATATATATATATATATGGTGTTTTAGGAAGGGTCTGCAGGGTCTACTGGGTCTCACTACATAGATCAGACTCATAGTGACCTGCCTGTGTTCAGTCTCCCAAGAACTGGGATTACAGGAGTGCACCACCTCGCCTAGTCTCAGTTGCTGTCTCAGCACACGCCGGGGGTGGGGCTGACATAGCACACTGGAAGAAATAATTTTTTATCACTTGTTAAACATAAATAACTATGCATTATTTTGAAGTGTTTCTTATACTCTGGATCTCAGAGCTGTGTTGGGCAGACAGAAAAGAACTTGTATACAGATTTTTGAAATGATTCTGAGAAAAAAAATTTTTTTACTTCATTTATTATGCAGTTTTATATTGTAGTCAAATCCTTTATTCTGATTTACTTTATAATGCTAGAGAGGAGTATCATATATTTTTATTGATTTAAAAAAATGAGAATGTTAAAATTAGCCAGGTCTTGAAAAAACTGAATATTAAAACTTTTATCTCTTTGTAGTTAATTTCAAGTAGAGATTTTGAAATATTGAGATACAGCTAGGAGAGATATTAAGCTACCAATATTAACACGACATAGAAACACAATTACCGTTTACTCTTTGACAAACATTTACTGCATTGGGCCAAATTCTGTTTAAAAAAAAAAAGTGTAGAGTGAGGAATAAAGTACCATGCCAAATACTTTGAAATGGAACACTGAAAATTTTGACTAACCTTTGTGCCCTGGGATAAATTCACATGTAACTAAAATTAGCTTTATTATTTGTTGTTGTTGCTGCTGAGTGAGAATGGGATGTTTTATCTATTCCTGAGGAAAAGCCTTAATTAGGTATAGGTGAGAATATATATATATATATATATATATGTTATAATGAGCCCTCTCAACATTTTTAACATTTTATTTTGTTGTTTGAATGTGAGGAAATGTTAGTTATGCTTTGAAACTATTTTAAATTAATAATTTGAATTGCCTTCCCTTTCACTGGACGAAGCCTATTGGCTCACTGTTTTGCTTTGTACAGGAGTGGGCTCCAGGGAGCTCAGACTGTCTTTGCCTAAGGTCACAGGATGGATGCCGGGGGCAGTTGTTGTTACAAATCATCCCTATAAATGGGGTGATATAGAGCCAACTGGAAAAGCCTAGGTGAATTACTTACTTCAACATGGTCACACTCTTATCTATCCCTTTATTAATCCATAGAAGGCTTTACATTTAGGTGGATTTTTTGTACACAACATGTAGTTGGATCATATTTTGATTCTCTCTTTGTCTTTTAATTCTTGTATTTAGATATTGGCATCTAAAGTGGTTGTTGATATAGGTGAATTAATAGCTACCCTATTTGTTCTGTTTTTACATTGTGGCTTTAGTTGAGCATTTTATAATTCCATTTTTTTCTCCCTTATTGGAACAGTAGCTTTTTTGACTTTTTAGTGGTTTGCTCAGAGTTTGCAATATAAATTTATGGCTAATCCTAGTTCATGTTCATGTAATACTCATATCATTTCATGGATAGCATAAGTACCTTATAATAAAATATTCCCAGATCTTCCCTCTCATCCCTTGTAGTCTTGCTAGGATTCATTTTACTATATATATACATGTATGTATTATATATATTATGTACATACAATCAAATATATTATTACTATAATTATTTTGAGTAATCTCATTAGATTAAGAAAAAGTTCTCATTCTGCCTTCATTTATTCTCCAATAGTCTTCTTTCATGTATCCATCCTTTTATCTTTATGTATAGCTAAGTTTCTTTTTTTAATTTTCATTTTTATTAGTACATGTTCATAATACACGAAGATTACATCCAAAATGGGGAGTTACTATCCATACATAACAACCTGAATTTTTTTTTTAACCTGAATTTTTTAAACTTCATTTTTTCCTCCCCTCTCTCCTCCCTCCTGCTACTTTCTGGTCCCCTTGGCACTTGCAAAATATCAATCTGAATTTCATTTTCTTTTTCTTGGAAGTACTTCTTTTCAGATTTCTTTAAAGACAGGGCTTTGGCACTGGCCCTTAATTTTTGTCAAGAAATTCTTATTTTGCTTTCATTTTTAGAGTACAATTTCATGGAATATAGAATTCTAGTTTGATTTTTTCCCCTCTCAAAACTTTAAATATTTTGCTATATTCATTTGTTATTTTTAATTTAACTTAATTTAATGCTTTTTGAGACAGGGTCTCACTGTACAGTCAGGCTAGACTTGAACTCACTGTGTGGCCCAAAGCTGCCCTCAGATTTGTAGTCATTTTCCTGCCTCAGCCTTTTGAGTACTGAGCTTGTAGGCATGTATGCATAACTCTTCACTGATTTCTTGATTACATAGCTTCAGAGATGTTAGATGTGATTTCTTCTTTTACTTTTTTTTTTTTTTTTTTTGAGACAGGATCTCACTAAGCAGTTCAGGTGGCCTTGAACTCCTTGGGTAGCCCAGACTGGCCTCAAGCTCACAGCGATCCTCCTGCCTCAGCCTCCCCGGTGCTGGGATTCCAGTGTGTACCACCATTCCTTGCCATCCTTGCTTTTTTATAGACAAGATGGTTTTTTTCCTCTGGCTCCTTTCAAGATTTTTTATCTTTAGTTTTTTTTTATAGCTTTCAACATAACCGGCCTTAGCATAGGCTTTCAAGTGTGTTTTCACATTCTGCTGGCTGGTTTCTCTGAGCTCTGTGGCTACATGATATGGTATTTAACATTCCTTTGGAGAAATTCTTAGTTGTTGGTATTTCCTGTATTTCCTCTGTTCCTTTTTCTTCTTGCCCTCCTTCCTGTGTATTCCCCTTGCAGATAAGCCACACTTTTGTAGTTGTCTCACAATTCTTGGATGTTCTCCTTTTTTTCCTTTTTTCTATCTTTTTATCTTTGGAAGTTTTTATTCCCTCATCCTCAGGCTGAGACTTTTCTTTCAACTACACCCAGTCTACTTGTGAATTTATGCATGCATCTTTGTCACGGTGGTTTTAGTTTGTAGAATTTCTTACGATTCAATCATAGAATTTCCCACTCTTCTATTTGTATTATCTGTCTGTGGGTTTTTTGTTTTTGTTTTTGTTTTTGTTTTTTTCTTTGTACCAGGGATCAAGCTCTGGACCTTGCGCTGGCCAGGCAGGCACTTAGGCAAGGAGCTATCTCCCAGGGCACTTGTGCGGTGTCTACTTGTTCATGAAGACCTTTGTCATGTTAATCGTAGTTGTTTTTGATTCTCAGTCCGTTTGCAATCTGTTGTGTCTAACTCTGGTTCTGATGCTTGTTCTGTGGCTTCAAGTTATTTTATTTTTAGCCTTACATTATGTTTTCTTGGTTTGGTTTTGTTGTTGTTTGTTTTTTGTTTTTGCTGTACAGTTCTATGGTTCCATCTTAGATTTTAGTGAGCATACCCTACTGAACCACAATTTAACAATCCATTCAGGTTTTTCACCTCCATAGGTGGGACACAACAGCCCAATCTGGAGCTCAGTAGTTCCCATTTCTTAGGTCAGTTGGGCTCTGAAAAATTTCCTACTAAGATAGCCCTGGTATATTAGTTTGTCTTAAGGATAGGCCTGGTTATAAGGAAGAGAATGGATCCATTTATTTTAAAATAACTGGTTACTTTCTCCCATTTTTGCATGAAGTATAAAAGAGTTTTTCTCTGATCCCCACAGTGATAACATGGTAAGGCTAGATGCTAAATTTATAATCTTTGGAGGCCCTTCATGACTGGCCACCCCTGGAATCCCTTTTGTCAGTTAGAGTTCAGGCTCCCACTCTGGGTTCCCTCAAAGTATTCTACTTGGTAGTTTCTGTTTGGTTAGTTGTGACTTGCTGTACCTATTTGTCGGTCTTTAGTTTTGGGAGGCTGTGAACTTGCTTGTCTGTCAGACCTAAGAAAAGTTAATCATTTTCCCTCTGCTTGCTAGTGCCATGTTTTCAGACTAGTATCTGAATCCTGTTTCATGTTTTAAATTGTTTTCTTCATTTGTTTACCATTTTGTGTAGCACAATAAATTTTAAATGAATGAATGGAGGATCAGTGAATAAATTAATGTATCGCATAAATCAACTTTTAGGTCGTAGGGTTCCTTGTGGTAGAAATTGAACAGTTCTGCTAAAAGCATTTCTTCAGTGGCCTTGCTCTTAGAGTTTGCAATGGCATTTTGCTAGCTGTGCTCCAGGTGTATTTCTGACATGCAAAGATTCAAAATTACTCTATTAGTGCACTGCTAAACCTGCTGTGAGTCCACTGCTCTTCTTGGTGAAAAAAGCATTTGAAAATTCAGAATTTAAATAGACATCTCTTTAAAATTTTAATAGATTTCAATGTTCTTGGCTATATGGGGAATAAAAGAAAAAAGTCAATATTTTGTGCAGAAAAATTATTTAATCTTCATATGGAAACATGTTGTCCATAGCAATAAATGATGTCCTATTACTTCTTGCTCTTAATATAACTTTAAATTATAAACTCTTAATTATGCTTGAAAAATTTGCTTTTCAATGCTTGAAGAATGTAGCAAATACTTCATGATTACCTTTAAAAATCTATTTTTGTTTTCAGTATCCTATAGTTTTTTAATGAGGCTTTTGATTGTTTATATTTTAATATGCATATCAATTTAGATATTCTCTTCCCAAGTAGAATATTTAGTTATTTCTTTTCCTCTCAAAATGTAGGCTGCAGTTTTAATTTGGGCTCATATCCTCATGGTCAACCTGGACTTGTCAAAATTCTCCAGATTGTGTATTGTTTATGTCACTGTATTGAGCAGCCCTGTGGTTATTCACACAAATGTTTGATAGTACCTCAAGATCTCTTATTTTTGGTAATTTTAGTTGATTTCTCTAGTTATAGTCCCTAAAAACACTGTAGGTTCATAAATGATTTCTAAGAACATCAAGATTTTAGGTCAAAAAAAGAAAAAAAAAGATTTCAGGTCAAATCAGCATGAACATCTAAATGCCTCTTTAATTTGTTAAGCACATATCCCATTTCTGTCTTGCTAAAACTTGGTGTGAAGTAGCTGAATCATTCAGTTTGAACTCCATATATTTAATTAATAATCAATTATAATCATATCGTGGATCTAATTTCACATGACTTGGCCTCTTGATTTTGGGAGATCATAGGAAATGAAAATAGTTGCACTAGATTTCCATCTGTTGAAGTGTTAAAATGACATGTGAGACTGTGAAAGAAATGTATTGCGGCTACTCTGTTCATGGAGTGATGCAGTTACAATCAGTACCAAGCCCAACACTATGTAACTGTCCACAGAGCAATTTGCTTATCTTGACTAAAAACACCAAGGGAGGAGTCGTACCAAAGGTACTAGAAGACACTGACTTGAAATTAGAATATATCTCAAAATCTGACTTTGCTAGCTACAAACCAATGCGAGTCATTGCTACTGGAAAACTTGTCATACATCAGCCATCACCAGCATTCTGGTGATATAAAGGAGACTAAAAATTTCACTATTTGTTTTTAAAGAAAAGGCAGCGTGGTCATTTATCTTATTCATTAGAACCCTGATCGACTATGTGGAGATTTAGACCTCAGACCACTTTTTATCATATATTCTTTACATGAATTTAAAATAAATAATTTTTGCCTATTGGATTTTTTTTTTTTTTTCAGAACTAGGGGTTGAACACAGGCCCTTGCGCTTGCCAGGCAAGTGCTTATTCTAATGCCATCTCCCTGGCCTTGGACTTTTTTCCTTCTCTTCCTCTTACATCTCTCCTACACTGGGAATAATCAGATATTTATCTGAAAGCTTACTGTTTCTGTGGGAAAAATAGTGACATATGATGAATCTTTTGTACAATAATGGCTAATTTGGAAATGCACCTGTGAAATTCCATGAGATTTGTTTTTCATGTTTGTTGTGGTGCTTGGTCTTAAATCTGGGACTCACGTATGCCAGGCAAGCTCTGTACAACTGAACAACATCTTCAGCCTTTCCATAAGATTATTAGGTTAAAATTGACCTGACTGGGGATGCCGCTCAGTGGCAGACCACTTGCCTAGTATACACAAGGTCCTAGGTTCTATCCTCACTACACCTCCAATAAAGAGTTGATCTGGTAATTCATTGAAATTAGGTAAATCCATTTATTTGTGAGATTAACTAAATATACATGTTCACTCCTCTTTTCATGCATGCATGCATGCATGCATCCATCCTTCTGTCTGACTCTTCTCCAGTCAGTCCAATGAGTGAATATTGAGAATTTTACCTAAGTCAACCATTGTGCCAGAGGATGGAAAGCAAGATAGAATACCTGCTTTTGTTGAACTTAGATTCCTGGAGTGAACACAAACACTACTCAAGAAAACATAAGCAAAATCATTACTAATTACAATTAGTGCTATGAAGAATATCAGCAGGGTGTTGTGCATAATCTTTGATTGATCTGACTTTCTCAGTAGTTGAAGAGAACAGGCATTTTGGAAAGTCCTCAAACAGAGCTCTTCAATTGGCCAAGAAGACGGTCATGGTCATTGTTGTTTACCAGTTTATCCAAAGGCTTAGTTTACTACCAATTAGACATTGGAGTCTGTGCACCGATTCTGTGAAATAAGTACAATGTTTGCACGTCACAGAAATCATCCACTCACTTTCATCCAACAGGTGGGCCTCTTGGGAAGAACTGGATCAGGGAAGAGTACTTTGCTGTCGGCTTTTTTGAGACTGCTGAACACCAAAGGTGAAATCCAGATTGATGGTGTGTCTTGGGATTCAACCACCTTGCAGCAGTGGAGGAAAGCCTTTGGAGTGATCCCACAGGTAAGCCAAAGGATGTAGGCAGAAAAAAGAGCAGCTAAACCACATCATAAGAAGGTATTTCTCACGAGGCATGGGGGCACACACCTGTATGTAATACTAGCATTCAGGAGGCCGAGACGAGTTTGAAGCCAGCCTGAGTTACTAAGTGAGTTCAAGGCTAGGCTTCAGGACATAGCAAAATCCTGCCTCAACACCCCCACAAAAAAACCACCAAAACTTATTTGTTTGAAGTGCTGAGAATCAAGCTCAATATCTAGTGAATGATAGGTGGTGCTCTAAGCTACCCGCATATCCCCAAAATGACGTCTTTACGTCTACCTGACACTTGCACCCAAGAAACTCCCGTTGCTGTGCAAAGTATACTTTTGTGCACTGCTGTCTTTTCTCTGCAAAGCTGGGAGAGATGTCATAGGGAGTAAAATATCTCTAAAAGCTTGGAATTCTGTGTGACATACAATTATTAAAATATTTGAAGTTTTAATAAGTGGTTCCTAGAAATCACCATCTGTAGCAGGAGCTTGGGGCTTTTTAAAAAAAAAAACCAGTTTTTATCTTTTTCTGCTTCGGTGGTCTGAGCTCCAATTTAGCAGTCATAGCATGTTGAGAAGTGCTTTGCAAGACATACAAGATGTTTCTAAATAATGAAGATTTGGAAGCATGAGCTAGCAGAATTGAAAATAGAAAATGCAGATTGTTTTCTTTGGATAAGAAAAGCCATGTCACATTCAGCTGCTTTTTTTAAAATGCCATTCTTAGATTTGGGTCACAAAGAATCACCCTCACTGGCTCAGTACCTTCTTGTCTGTGTTACTGTGCAAGTGGCCTCCTTGTACATGAGGGAAGTGGCACCCGTTTCCAGCTTAAGACAATCGAACGAAAGGAGGCTGCTGTTTCTGCTGCATTTGCTCCATCTCTGTGGGTGTTTTCACTGCTTGAAGGGTCCTTTTTATCCCTTTGTACCCAAAAGCACTGAATCTGTTCTACTAACATGGTTCTTTGTAACAATGTTGTACGCTTAGCACAAAATGAAAATGTCAAGACATTTCTAGGTAGACTGACGACAAACCTAGGGAGAAAGAATGCTTGTATTTCTTGGCTCACCTCTGTAAAACATTTGCTTCTTTCAGCTGAGACACTAAATATTGCAACTGCTAGCCCGATGCCTTTAGTGCATTCATCTAGACTTTTCCGTGTTGCCAGAAGCTTAATCTTGACTGGAGTTTTAAAAACAAGAACAAAGGTATTGTCAGGTGGTCTAAAGATAAAGAAACACTAGAGACACAAGTATCCCGAGTGATAGCATCCAGCAAAATAAAAATGTTGAAGAACATGAAATAGAACCTGGTTACCACAGCGGCATTGTTACTCAGTGTGACCTGCCTTCTGGGGCCATTTTTAACTAACAATAATGAAGCTTTGTCCTTTTGTTGTTGTTGTTCTTGTTCACTCAAATCTGTTCATTAGAGTAATCCAAGCTCTAAAAGTTAACTTCCGTTTCATTGGGAATCTTTTAGTTTATCTGCCATGTAACTGAGAGATTTTTGTCTTCTTGCAAGCTCTACGGAGGAACCTAAATATGTGAGAGCTGAAGGCACCACGTAGAATTGCGCTCTGACAAAATTTGTCTTGCTTTTCTGCTCAAATGAATCTTTCAGACTTGCATGTCATTTCCCTCTACGATGATGTCAAGGTTTCTATAAACTAACGAAAAAATACTTCCCGAGATTCCTTCACATGCTAATGGTGCCGCCACAGATGCTTCTCATATGTGGGGCGCATGACTTGGTGTCTGAGGCCGACTCTCGGTACTCCAACATGTGTTCTGTCTCCTTAGTGTTCATCGCTATGCAAATGTGTCAGAAAGAGAGAAAGAGAAGAAAATCATATGTTTTGATGTCTAAGCTAAGGGATATTTGTTTTCTCTTAGAAAATTCAAATTATTATTTTTTGTTTTTATTTATTTATTTTTTATGTAGTTAGTACAGGGTCTACAGGGACTTATTACACAGATTGAACTCATAGTGATACTCCTGTTTTCAGCCTCCCAAATGCTGGGATTACAGGTGCATGCCACCAAGCCAAGTCTCAATGTGCCCCAGGGGCAGGGCCAGCACCGAACCCCAGGAATTGAACCCCAGACCCTGTGTCTATCTACATGATGCTTTAAGCTGCTGAGCTATCTGGCTGGCCCTGATGTTTCTTGATACAGGATCTTGCTATTCTATGCAGTTCAGATGCATAGTGATCCTCCTGTCTCGGTCTCTTTAGTGCTGGGATTACAGGCCTGCGCCACCACACCTAGTTTCAGAGCCGGGCACAGCATGCACTACTGGGGATCAAACTTGGGACCTTGGGCTTGCCAACTCTAGAATTTGATCTTTAAAAAGAAATAAAAAGAAGAGGCAAAGAAATATCCAAGGAGAGCTAATTTTCTTTACTTTTTCATCATTTTCTTTCTCTTCATTTTGAAAGTTCTAAAGATCTCTAGACTCAGCTGTCACAGAGCTCTGGTCACTGGTTTTCAGAAACATGAAACAGTAACTCAAAACAAAAAGCATTCTTTCTCATTTAACATCATCCTTTAGGGCTGGTGAGATAGCTCAGTGGACTAAGTGCCTGTTTAGGCAAGCGCAGGGACCAGGGTTTGATTGCTGGTAGCACGTGCCACACTGGCCCCGCCCCTGGGGGCACTGAGCTGGCCACTGAGACTGGACATGGTGGCGCACACCTGTAACCCAGCCCTGGGAAGGCTGGAAACAGGAGGGTCACTAGAGCAGTCAGGGCTGCGCTGTAGTGAGACCCTGTGCCAAATACATTAAACCATAATAATAACCCTAAAAATAAATAAAATCACCCTTTAACTATGGATCCCCAAGATGCCTGTGGATTTTGGCAAATCCTTGCAGGAGTTGTGTTTTGTTTTAGCTTTTGTTTTTGTGAAATTCGTCCCTCCCACTAGTAGAAAACAATCTTGGAGAACAAGCCGGTAGGGAAGAGAGGCTATTGTGTGCATTACAGGATGGAAATTCTTTTCCTCCTCACTCTCCTTTGCCTGTGGGACAGCGAAGAGGAGCAGGAGGCTTCTCCTCAGTCCTGTTGGCCTGAGCTATTCCAAACACGAGAACAGAAAATCGATCATTAGCATTATACCTCACTGGACGTTTCACTTATAAAAAACAGGCAAATAATTTTTAAATGTGTGTTTAAAACTTTGTTTAAAGTTTGAAATACTGTAAGGTAACCTTACAGGGAATATCTGCCCTGTTCTTGCAATAAGACTATATGACTTAAATGCCCACATTTGACTCCTGCCACAGAGCTGGGACATCCTTTATTCTGAGAAATTTCAGATAGGGCCAAATACTGTTCTGTAGATGGCAACCATGGAATTCAAGGGCACATCAGTTCTCATTCACTTCAATAATTAGCCATTTCATAATTATGAAATACCCATATGTCTAAAATTATAAATATTGCAGATTCTAGAGTCATGTGACACTAGTGTTGAGGTATCCAGGGAGATCCCAAAGCAATCTATAAACTTCTAATGAGAAGCTCCAAAGGAAGAAAGAAATATGACAAAAATTATGAAGTAGACATAGATAAATGCAGAATGTTCCAAGCAGGGCCAGTGTGGGAGTGCTGTGAGTGACTGAGAGGAAGCCCATCCCCACCCCAGAGGGGCTGTCCCTAGCGCCTCGCTGCGTGCTTCCTTTCTCCTAACCCCAGCAGCATGCACACCTGCTCATTTTTCTTTCATTCCTCCACTGAGCCAGAATTGAGCCACACTGTATGCTATTCTTCCCATTATTTAATTTATATTGCACCCAATCACCACAGAAGCCAAATTGCTTTTTTTTTTTTTTTTTCACTTGAAGTTTAGTGCTGGAGCTGTGGGCCAGATGCAGGGATCCAGGACCGGCTCTGAAGACTCCCTGTAGGCTCAGCTGTTTCTACTGAATTGGAGTTGAGGCGTTGGCTTCGGGGAAGTGATTAGTCATTTATTCTTTCCCAAGGCTCAAGAATTGCTTTTTATATCAAACATGACATTAAACAAATATCAAATGTTGGCACACCTTAACTTTCTTAGTAGCAAATGGTTTCTTTTAAAAAAGGTCACTGAATAGGAAGAAAATGTACAAATGAGGAGGGGGACTTAGGAAAGGGAGGGGCAAAGGAAGGGAAAGGAAAAACAAGAAAAGAAGGAAAAACTGGAAACAAAGCTTTTATAAATAAGGAGGTAAAGGAGGGTTAAAGGGAAGGTAGGGGAATGAGGAAGAAAAAAGAATCAAGATGTGTCATGATATCATGCTATGATGAATGTGGTCATTATGCATATCTAAAATGTACCAATGAACTTAATTAAAAAAGAGAACACTGTGACTTGTAGTCTCAGATACATTTTTGGTACATGGTGAATCTGACTGTGCCATGTTGAGCAGACTATGTAACCTTGGTTCTCAGCTGTGTCATCCGCAATGCAGGAGGAAAGGCCTTCATGACCTCCAGGTAGCTCTCAGCTACAGAGGTGAATAGGCTGGAAGTTCAGACAGGTTGAAAAACATGGTTAGGACACCTGCTGGCTCCAAGAGAAGCAAGAAAATGCCAGGTACTATCGGTAATGCAGGAAACATCTGACTGATTGTATGAAGTTAGATTCTTACTCAATCACTTTGTTCAGTTAATGTTTTCTTAAGATTAAAGGGGTACATAGTTTGTTGCCTTATAGTAGACAATAAACCCTCAACAAAAGACCTACAGATTTCTAAATGCAAAATATCACCACACTAAAACTTTTAGATGTCTAAATCTTACAGCTTTCTTCCTTCCTAATTTTGAATACATATGTATTTTAAATAAAATGTACTAACATATTTTCTAATACATTTGGTAAATATAGTGCTTTGTATAAATTATCAGGGCAATATGAATAAAAATTAGGCAAATCATTTCTTCAGCAGTTATTAAAAATTAAAGTTCTAATGGATTGTCAGTATTGC